TAAAAGAAGAAGAGGAGGAGGGGGAGGGGGAAAAGAAGAACTGGTGTCCTTATGGAATACTGGTGCGTGCAAGGCAAGGATTTAGCCACTAGGCTATTGCGCTTGGCTCCTCCATACAATTTTTGCTCTGGCCCTAGGAAGAGTTGCTTTTAGCAGAACACTAGTGGGACTGCAGTGAGGAGGTAGTGAGCCACTGTGGCTCTTCCTGCTCACAAGTGACACCCATCACTTTGCTTTCCAGCAGGAGTGCTATGGTAGCTTGGTAGACATTAGCCTGTGTGTGTAAGAGGGACTGAAGACAATGAGAATTTCTGTGAGGATGGAGGAGGACAGAAATGCAGCCACAAGCCTTGGGAGCAGACCAACATCACATCTAAAGCACTGCTCTGATTCAGTAGCCTTGTTTGAGGTGAGTCTTCTTCCCCCATAGTTGGATAAGGGAAGAAATGTTGAAGCAAATAAGCACTTATGTATCAAAAGTCCTGTCCCGTTCAATAGCTTGGTTGAGTGGGTCTCGATCCCTTCTCCAGATTAGGGACATTTCCTTGCAGAGGTTACCAAGGGGGCTATGAGGTGCATGATGACATTCTGGGAGGTACTTGAAGCATTCCACATCCGAGAAACTCTTCACTCAGTGAGCCCTTACGGGCAGGGAGGAGCAGGGAGAAATGGGGGACCCATCCCCAAATCCATGAGAATTCCAGTCTGAATGCAAACTTGGGTCTCATTTCTTTGCCCAGATGCTCACCTATTCTAAGAGCTGTACTTCTGTACTTCTCTTCTTCAAACTTCGCTGCCTTTGGGGGACTTCTGAACCAAGACATAAACTGCAGCATGCTGTATTCTGCCTGTTTCCTATGGCTGCCTTCTCAGCCTCATCTATTTGTTCTTGTTCCTTTAAAGGAGAGTCTCTGTTGCCTGTTTCCATTTGGCTTGCATCTTGATTTCTGCTGGCTGAAGGGTTGGGTTGGCACCTTCTGTGTCCTGGGGCCATCTCCTGGAAGGACTCTTGTCTACTGGACCTGCTGGGGGTGGGAGAGTCACTCCTACGTCACAACCCTGCCTCTGAAGCTCTGGCTCCGTCACTTCTGCCACTGTCTTGTTTGGGCACATTCACTTATCTTTTCAAAACACTTGCTACTTCTTTAACTGTCAACAGAGAATACAAGGGGGCGGGCTTTGGGCACAGCCACAGCTTGGGGCACCCAGAGGCCATATCAGGGTGCAGAGTGCCTTCCTGTTAAGGCACCGCCTGGAAGGCAGCCGGCCTCGGCTCAGTGCAGGGAAGTCCAGGATGGGGTTCCATGCTCCGGGCTTCAGCGTGGCTTACCTCTGATTGTCGCATGCGCTGAGGAGTGAATCAGTGCAGGGAAGATTTCTGTGTGTCTGTATTTCTGTCTCTCTGCCTTTGACATAAAATGAGAAGTAGACACTTTAAAAAATAATGATTATTACCCCTATGAAGAATAGAAATAAGTTGGGCTCGGCATAGTTGCCTAATCCACCGGGATCCCATATGAGTGCTGGTTCGGGTCCCAGCTGTTCCACTTCCCCTCCAGCTCCTGGCTTGTGGCCTGGAAAAGCCATCAAGGGTGACCCAAAGCTTTGGGACCCTGCACCAGACTGGGAGACCTGGAATAAGCTCCTGGCTCCTGATCAGCTGAGTTCTGATTGTTGCAGCCACTTGGGGAGTGAACCAGTGGATGGAAGATCTTCTCTGTCTTTATTTTGCTCTGTAAATCTGACTTTCCAACAAAAATACATAAATATTTAAAAAAAAGTATAGAAATCCATAAATCTTTAAAAAAAAGTATAGAAATAATTTATGCAAGATGCATGTGGTTAGGAGGTACTTAATAGATGGTGGCTACTGTGAAGCTGAATATCATCATCCGATGTCACTGTGTCCCGAGCTCCCTGCTACAGTGTACCCCATTCATACCAATAATTATTCCAGTGTTTTGTAATATGCATGCTGAACCCCTGTTGTTTTTTTCTGTTTTTAAAGATATATTTATTTTTATTTGAAAGGCAGAGTTACAGAGAGAGAAGGAGAGACACAAAGAGAGTTCTTCTATCTGCTGGTTCACTCCCCAGATGGTCACAGTGACTGGAGCTGCGCTGATCCAAAGCCAGGAGCCAAGAGCCTCTTCTGGGTCTCCCACACAGGTATAGCGAGCGTCCAAGGACTTAAACCGTCCTCTGCTGCTTTTCCAGGCCATGAGCAGGGAGTGGGACTAGAAGTGAAGCAGCAAGGACTCAAACTGATGCCCTTCTGGGATGCCATTGCCACCGGTGGAGGAGTAATTTACTAAGCCAGGGTGCTGGCCTTTCTGGTTCTTTTATTTGGGACCAAATAACTGTGGGTGGAAGAGTTTAGTAGTTCTGGGTTTGAGACATTTACAGACACACAAAAGGAATATGTACATACTCTGTGTTAATGTCTCTTTTTGTTACACTAAGAATAACTAGTGTCATGATAATCTTTCTGGGATGTGGAGCTTCTTGGTTTTTCCAAATTGTTCTTTGACTTGCTAATTTAAAGCAGACATCAGGGAATGTCTCTGAAACTGGAAGTAGAGGACAGAGAAATAAAAGGGAGGAGTCTTATATCCAACTGAATTTTGGTTCCTGAAAAAAAAAATGGGTCATACATATGACCCATAAAATGAGTCTGACACTGAAACTTTTTTTTTGAATAAAGATTTATTGATTTGGAAGCCAGGGTACCAGCAAGAGAGGGTGAGGGGGATCTTACGTCTCCTGGGACTTGGCCAGGCCAAAGCACAGAGCTTGGGCGTCCACTCTCGTGTCTGGAAGGCAGGGACTCACTTAGCTGGCCATCATCTGATGCCTCGCACACACACTGGCAGGAAGCTGGAATGGAGAGCTGAGCTGGGACTCACTCCGATCCGGAATGCAAGCATCCTAAGCAGCATCTTATCCTGCTGGACCTCGATGACCACTCAAGAAGCTTGTCTTGAACTCAGCTACCTGGTCATTTTGCTCTTGTCTGCTATTTACTGCACACGACAGGCTATGCTCAGGGACTTTATGTTCTTGGCAGTTTTGAACTTGGGCACATATTGTAAACGGGATGTCAGCGTTGTGTGCTGTAAGCATCATTTGTGGTCTGATATGAGCACGTGTCTTGAACACATCATTTTCACTCTTTTTCAGTTTGTTTTTATGCTGATATAATTAATGAAATCTGAGCATTATGGAGTCAGGATATTCTTTTCTTGGTCATGGTGTATTTTCTTCTATCAGAGCTCCCAGGAACACACTGTTGACCAGGTGCTGGGGTGAGGTGGTAGGGTGGGAAATTTCTTTTTTTCAGTCTAGAAGAAATCTTTGCAGTTACAATGTTCAAGAGCCATGAGTCTATCTTGGCTTCATGTACTGCTTTGCTGTAGCTCTTCTGAAAGCCGGCACGTTAAGCATTTGTTTCTGTCTCCTTTCCGAAGGCAGCCCAACCGTGCTCTTAAAACGAGAGATTCGAATTCTCAGGGCAGGTAATGAACGGGGACAGGTCAACTTTACAGTAATCCTGCAGAAAAAGCGTTTAATTCCTCATGTTCAGTGAAAACAAGGACGGCGCGCCAGCCTCCTGCCATCCGGGGTGTATGGTCAGCCTGGCTGCCTGGTCATTCTACACTCCTGGGTGCAGCGTGACCAGGAGAGCAGCTGGTGGACACGGACGGCACACCTGGCTGATGCTACCTGCAGCCCCAAGGACCAAGGGCAGTGAAGCTGGGCAACTGACCTCTAATGAAGACTACGCAACGCGCTACGCACTGCGAGTAATCTTGACTTTCAATGAGTTCCCTTGGCAGCGTACAAAGGAAAACATCAATTTCCCTCTCTAAATGACATGGTTATGAGAATGTCTCATCACAGAATTTCAGAACTGGAAGATACCGCTTTAGTTTTTTAATTTTATTCTTATTATTTTTAAGATTTATTATTTTTATTGGAAAGGTAGATATTTAGAGAAGAGGAGAGACAGAGAGGAAGATCTTTCGTCCAATGATTCATTCCCCAAGCGGCCATAACTGAGCTCCAGAGCTGAGTCAATCCGAAGCCAGGAGCCCAGTGCTTTGTCTAGATTTCCGGGGCCCAAGGCTTTGGGACGTCTTTAATTGCTTTCCCAGGACACAAGCAGGAAGCTAGGTGGGAAGTGGGGCTGCCGGGATTAGAACTGGCGTCCATATGGGATCCTGGCTCATTCAAGGCAAGAACTTTAGCCACTAGGCTATCGCACTGGGCCCTCCTATTTTTTTTTTTTTTAAAGGGGTTTGTTTCTTTATGTGAAAGGCAGAGTTAGAGAGAGGGACAGTTCTTCCGTTTGCTGGTTTGAGTCTCAGAGAATCGCGGTAGCCAGGGTTGGGCCAGGCTGAAGCCAGGCGCTGGGAGCTCCACCAAGGTCTCCCAGGTGGGTGGTAGGGGCTCAAGTAGTTGTGCCATCTTGGCTGCTGTGCTCTGCTCTCCCTCGGCAGGGAGCGGAGATGGGCACTTGAATCTGTGCTCACCTGGGACGAAGGTTTCCCAGCGGTTTAATCAGGGTCCCACTGACTTTCCTTATTTTAAAGCTAGAAAACTAGCGTTCCTAGGACCAACAGAGCCGCACAAGTTAAGGCACAATTTGGACTCCCAACTCAGTCCCTTTAAAGGCAGCCGGTTCACAATCAAGTTCAAACAGAAACAGATGGGACAAGAATATGGCTTTGATAACCCACAGGGAGGCATAACTGGAGTCCTCAAAATGCAGGGTGAACGTGGCACCTGCAGCCCCAGCCGGTAACCTCGCTAGGAACAAAGCACGTGTGGGAAGGTCCGTGCTGGGCAGCCCAGCGTGCAGGATGCCCCAGGGCGCGGGGGGTCCAGCAAGGGTCCACGCAGGACTCCCCCGCGCGCGCTCGCACCCGCGCCCCGCCCCGGCCCGGCGTGCGTGCGCTGGCCCCGCCCCGCGCGCTGGTTGGCGCTCGCGGACATGATGAAACTTCGCGCACGCATTTCGCGAGCCGGAGACGGTCAGACCGGCCCAGAAGGTTGTCGCTCGGCCTGCACCGCGCGGCCCTGACCTTAGGAGCCAAGGTAAGCCCGGGACAGGGATGCGCGGCGGCGCTGTCGGATACCGCCGGACCCCGGGCGGGGCGGCGCCTCCCGATTGTTGCGCACCTGCGGGCCAGCGGCTGGGGAGAGCCTAAGGTCCGGGTGCGCCGGACGATGGCGCGACTGCAGCAGCCCCGAGGCGCGGCGATTCTGGACAGGAGGTGCGCGCAGACAGCCTGGGTCGGCCCCTAGGTGATGGCGTCGAAGTCTAGGACGATTTTCGCAGTCCGAGGGCTCTGCCGCCGACTGGCTGCAGTGCGCACGTGGCCCTGGCACAGGCCGGTCACTTTTCCCAGGCCCTGCAAGGAGAGTGACAGCTGTGGGGCTCAGGCTGGAGTCTGCCCCTTCTTGCCTCCCCTAGCGCTCCTCCTCTGCAGTCTGCGGGGCCCAGCGAGGAACCCGCCGGTCAATCCAAGCAGGCATCTGTTTAGAGTGACCGGGCGACTAAGGCAGCCTGAAGGCAGAGGAACCCCGCAGAGCGTCGTTTCCCTGGTGACTGGCTATTCTGTAGGGCTACCTTTGGATTAAGATTTTGTACAGGGTTACGAAATGGGGGCGGTTTCTTCTGGCGGGTGGCCTCTTTGGTCTTTTGCCTGTCCTCTGCCCTGATGTCTTGACTGGTAGTATTTTGGAAGCCCCGATAACTCCATTTTCAAGGAACCGTGGCGTAGTTGTCAGAGGAATTCCAAATGAAATAGGGCTTGCGCCTGTCCAGGGGTTGGCGGAGATTTTACCTGGGGTGTGACTTGAGCTGATTGCTCTGAAATGGCGCTGTCCAATTTGGTAGTGGCTAATGGAGCTCCTGCCAGCCCGACTAGCCGGACTGAGCTGGTGTTGTGAGAGTAGAATGTACTGGATCGTGACAGTCATAAGCAGTACTCACTGTCTTGTGCAAACACAATGTTTATACCGATTATGAGTTTGAGACGATGCCATTTTGTGTATAATGACTTAAACTATGTTTAAAATGACCTTTGTCTTTTTTTTTTTTTTTTGGATGGGACTGCACATAAGTTTGAAATTAGACATGTGGCTTCTATTTCTGTTGGAGGCATTGCTGTGGAAGTTAGGAAACATGGATGATGAGTGGAGCTGGGGAAAGCACTGCAGGTGGGACCTTTGCTCCACAAAGACTGGTTCCAGTGAAAAGAAGAGGTTGGGTTTTAAGCTGCTGCGTCCTCGCTGGAGAAACTGGTGTACTTCACAAACGTGTTTGCCTTTTCCCACATTCAGTCTAGTGGTCAGTGTGTGCCTCTAGCAGACTGAGGAGCGTTACTCACCAAATGACATTCACATGGGTTTCGTTGATGATTTGCTGAGAATTAACTTGGCTTTCAAATCACTTTCCCAGTCCGTTATAAGAATCATGTAATATATTTTTAAAAGATTTATTTAGTTTCATTGCAAAGTTTTATATATAGAGAGAGAGAGAGAAAGAGAGAGGAAAGACGGAAACATCCCCAAGTGACTGCAACAGCCAGTGCTACGCTGATCTGAAGCCAGGATCCAGGAGCTCTTCCCGGTCTCCCACAAGGGTGTAGGGTCCCAAGGCTTTGGGCTGTCCTTGACTGCTTTCCTAGGCCACAAGCAGGTAGTTTGATGGGAAACGGGGCTGCCAGCATTGGAACCGGCACCTGTATGGGATCCCGGCACATTCAAGGTGAGGACTTTAGCCACTAGGCCATGGCGCTGGGCTCAGAATCATGTAAAATAGAGTTACATGAGTTGAAAGAGTTACAGAGAGGAGAGAGAGCAAGAGCGAGAGGGCGCTATCTAGCATCTGCTGGTTCACTCCCCAATTAGCCACAATGACCGGAGCCTGGCTGGTCTGAAGTGGGGTGCCTGTAGTTTCCTCTTGGTCATCCACACCATTGCAGGGCCCCTAGCACTTCCAGGCCACCAGCAGTGAGCTGGATCAGAAGCAGAGCAGTCAGGACTCAAATTAGCACCCACACGGGCTGCTGGTGCTCTAGGTGGAGACATTTTAGACTTGGAATAGGTCAAAGAGAGGTTGCTCCTGAATGGAACTTCACGTATCTCTGCAGTTTTCAGTCTAAGTCACCCTTCATTATGGGCTCTTGGCAGGTGCGTGGAATAGAGGGCCCGGGATGTGTGACACTTGGTTTTCAAGATACTTGAAATGATGTTGTTTCCCATAACCTCAGTTTTGTCGCAGGGAATGGCCAGCCAGAGCTGTGGTTCATTTAGGTACCAAAAATGAAATAAATAACACCCAAGGATTCCTGTCATTTTAGAGTATCCTCGAACTATCTGGAGTCCTGGCTCCTGGCTCCTGGCTCCAGGTGGACCCAGCCCCGTAGTGGTAGGAGCAGATCCAAGGGAGGAAAATCCGAGGAACTGGTGGGAGTGGGGTCTTCCAGGGACCATCTCGGGAGAGGAGGATCAGCAGGACTCCTGGGAGGGCAGAAAACAAAGAAGAAAAAGGGGAACTCCTGCGTCCTGGGCAGCCAGGTCTGGCACTTTGCTCTGGGCATTATGGACGTCATAAATGTGTGAGAGGTGGCTTCCTCCTGCCATCCCGATAAGATGAAATCTCAGACGCCGTTCCCCTGACAGGAACTCGGAGGTGGGGGCTGCTCTAGGCTGTGTCTCCTTGCTTTTGTTGACTTTGTCTCTGTTCTCACGCCAGGAGACTTGGGGAGGGCGGGGAGGAGGCTAGGATGAACTTGCTTCTGGAAGGATAAGCGATGGGGAGAAGCAAGATTTTATATTTTAAACAGTAACGTCACCAGGGCCCAGAGACCCTAACTGCCTCTTAGCCCATCTGACTCCTCACATTATTATTATTATTATTAAAATGTTTATTCGGTTGTTTGAAAGGCAAAGCAGCAGAGAGGAGAGAGAGAGAAGTGGCTGGGACTGCCCAGTTTAAAGTCTGGGTCCCTCATGGGGGTCAGTAGCCCAAACACTTGGGCCATCCTCCCCTTCCCAGGCACATTAGTAGGGAGCTGGCTTGGAAGCACAGCGGTTGGGAGTAGACCCTGTGCGCATATGGGATGTGGGCACTACAGGCAGTAGCTTAACTTGCTGTACCGCTAAGCTGCATCTTTATCCTGCACCAGATGCCCACTCCAGGACATTTTGATGGGGAACATTTTCTATGTGCATGTTATGTTTGTTCCAAGGCCAGGATATCTAATATTTCATTATATCACTTTGTTTTTCTCTTTAGGCTTTCCTTCAGCACATTTGAACAGATCATTTAGAGGTAAGCTAAAGCTTGTGAAATGCTTATATGAACTGTGTGTTTTGGTATTATGCTTCAGCAGTGTGACCTTCTGGTCTACCGCTCCACCACTCCATTCTGCTTACACTTGGTCCAAGAGGGGGCGGTAAATCCTCAAAGATGCTTAGTGGGACTCTAGGGGATTGTGGGGTCCTTGAAGGCTTTTGAGATTCTGGCATGGGAAAGTTGTACCTGGAGGCATCTGTCCCTGTGGCCTTGTGACTGGAGAGCAAACTTCACCTGCTGAGAGAGTGCAGCCTGCCCGCCCCCCGGGGGAGGACGTAGGTGCTGGTGGGTGCCAAGCTGCTGTGTGTCTCCTTAGATGTAAAGGTCATTCATCAATTATGGTATTTCTAAGTGAATTAAGTCACTGTCTGCTCATGTCCACCTGGCAGCCTAATGGAAACCTGCTGTTGATAAGATGGTTTCTGGTTTCTATCTCAGTGTTGGAAGTGTTATGCAAGTTTCTGGCATCAGGACTTAATGCACACTTGGACTGGGTATTGAACATTTGTTCTCTTTTTCTCTCTGTAGAGAGCCTGTCACTCCGGGCGCCATGTGTGGCATCTGGGCCCTCTTTGGCAGCGATGACTGCCTGTCTGTTCAGTGTCTGAGTGCGATGAAGATTGCACACAGGGGTCCAGATGCATTTCGTTTTGAGAACGTCAATGGATACACCAACTGCTGCTTTGGATTTCATCGGTTGGCAGTGGTTGACCAGCTGTTTGGGATGCAGCCAATTCGAGTGAAGAAATTCCCGTATTTGTGGCTTTGTTACAACGGTGAAATCTATAACCATAAGACGGTAAGCAGGTCCAAACCGGAGAGCGTCTGGATGACACCTCAGAGCCTGTTGGTTACTGTAGTGTTTATTACACATGTCGTATGATGCTGGCTACTTTCAAAGCCTTTTCATGTTCATGATCTCATTTGTCAGAGTTCATGCCTGAGAATGCCAGGTTATGGTATGCTAATCCAGGCTGGCTTTTCTGCCTTAATTGAGATGGAAAATGCCTTTTATTACGGGATCACGGTTTTGCTTCTGTTCATTTCCTTAAAAATTTATTACCAAAAGTTAATTATTCTAAAGTATTTCCACTCCAGGTTAGCCAAGCTTGCTGTGTTTTTTCCCTTTTCTTCCTGCAACCTCCCTGAACACTCTGAGTATGCTCAGTGGACGGCTTCAGGCAGGTTCAGAGTGTCCCGAGGCATAGGAGGGGGCTTCAGCTGGCTCCTGGAAAAAGGAATTGAAAGAGAGGTTTGCTACCAAAAAAGTTGCATCCCATGCATTAAAAAAAAAAAGGTTTACATATTTATTTACTAGAAAGGGAGAGACTGAGACTGCAGTTCCGTTAGTTCATTCACTCCCTCTCTGGCCACAGCAGTCTGTCCGGCTGGGTTGAAGCCAGGAACCAGGAACTCACTCCATCCTGGTCTCACACTTGGGTGTCCTCCAAGGAGTCCTTCTCCTGAGTAAGTTACCTGCAGATTTAGGTCAAAGACAGGTGATTGGGGCAGGGTGGTAGGGAAGATTTAGGGAGTTGTTCATTACTGGTGTCATCCAGTGCTTTAGGAATATTTATCCTGCAGGTGCAAAAGCCCAGAAGGATCAGCCTGCTTCCCAGCTGCACCTGCCAGTGACAGGCACCCGCCTTTGGTGTCGCAGAGCCAGGAGGGTTAATACGTGGACACAGCCAAAGCCAGTTTCTGAACAAGTCTACCAATGCATAAAGACAAATTGGTCATAGAGCTTCCTAAACCTGAGCCGGCCCATCCAATGTGCGGCAAGGCAGCCGCTGGCACTGGGTGGCCGAAGGAAGCAGGTTTATTGCAAAGTGCAGAGCCAGGAGCCGGCAGTGGTGGCTCGATGGCCCAACTCCTTGATGGATAAAGGATTTTACAGTTGGAGGTTGGGGTGAGATGTGCACATTGGGCTCATGTGCAGGTCTCTGGCTTGTGCACGGCTCTGCTTCGATCGTAAGATCAAGTTTCAGGAATTATGAAGATGGCAAAGTGGGCTCGCCCAGGTGGCAATCACTTCTTTTTCAGGTCCTGGGATTTCTGGAAAAAGCCCTCAAGATGGGACTTACTCCCCCGAGGTGTTCTTTATGGGGGAGGTGGGTCAGTGAGCTCATGGGTCTGTGAGCCAGGACCCCACATGGCTGGCTGTAGCACTGCCTCAATTCCATGAGCTGACTTTAGATAAAGCGGAGCAGAACAGAGCAAGGTGAGGGAGAGAGATTGAGAGACAGTGGGCGAACTAGTGCCTGATGGAATCTAGCATCTACGTTGAAGGCTCTGACCGCATAGCTGCCTACTTCCAAATTCACAAACTGTGAAACCAGTTAGGCTGTGAAGCCTATTTATGTAGCCGCCCTATTCCCATGGGCTTACTGTTTAATATTCAAAAGCATGTTGGAAATGTTTAAAGTCCTCCAGGATTCTCACCGGATTTCACAGTAGCTTCTCCATTGCCAATTGAGTACATGAGCGCAGATACCAAGAGGGCCACGCCAGGCCTCTGCCCCCCACAGTTGGCAGAGGTGTGTGGGAGAGTGTGGGTGCACCTTGATTGCCCCGCCCTGCTGTGATGGCGGGGACAAGGGATGCTGCTACAGGGATGGAAGGAGTGAATGTGCCAGCCTTCCCCTTGGCCAGCACGTGTGCTTTGGGCCGTGTGTGTGTCACTGTGCTGAGACATTCAGTTTTCACGGAATGCTGCCAAGTTGTTCTCTACTTTGTATTTTCATAGGTAGGAGTTAGAGGCTGAACTGGCAGAGCCTCAGCTTAAGTTTTGTTCTCAAATTAAAAGTTTACAGCCGTGGAAAACACATTGTGAGGTTCCAGGCAGCCAGCCAACCTATTAACATCCATGTGTATGTGAATATTTGTTTTACCTGCATGATATACCATGAGTATGCATTTGCGCTGCCCAGTTGTTATTCTGGTATGTTACTATATATTCTGCTTTTCAGGATGCAGCTAAAAATTTCAGGGTTCAGCTTGGTGTTGTAAAAATGTTGCAGAATTGTGAGTTGATTCTTCAGAATCGAAGGACTGTTGGAGCACAGGTGTAACCGAAGCGTCTTTGGCATAAAGCATTATTAACGTGTGCACGAGGATTCTAACGCTGTGTTTTGCTGTTGCTTCCTTAAGATGCAGCATCACTTTGGATTTGAATACCAGACCAAAGTGGATGGTGAGATCATCCTACACCTTTACGACAAAGGAGGCATTGAGCAGACCATCTGCATGCTGGACGGAGTGTTTGCGTTCATCTTACTGGACACTGCCAACAAGAAGGTGTTCCTGGGTAGAGATACTTACGGAGTCAGACCGCTGTTTAAAGCCATGACTGAAGATGGATTTTTGGCTGTGTGTTCAGAAGCTAAAGGTACTCGTGGGATTTTTCTGTTGATTTTCCTTACCGTCACACCCGTGGGTTTTTTTTCCAGATCGTATCTTTGATCCCCTGACTGACCGGATCACGATCCTCTAAACTTTGTGTTTGAAAATACACCGCTGAGACTCGATCCTTGAGGGCTGGACGAGGAATCCCTAGTAGGCGTCCCTCTTTTTCGGTGTTGCCAGCAGCCTTGCATCTGGTGCGATCCTGCATCTGTTTGCAGTTTACCCATGTTGCTCTGCAGTGTTGCATTTGCTGTACTGCGACACCGGTAGAGCCCCCGGTTACGCCCACATTGTAAAAACTCGGTTATTGATCGGCAGTTCACACACCAAGTATTTCACCTACTTAACATGTTTAGCTTAATGGATAGCCATGGATATTTGAAAGCCCAGTCATTTTGGCTTTTTTTTTTTTTAATCACTTCACAAAGAACTACTGTGCCCCTTAGCTGTCATGCCCACCCTTCACCGTTTATCATGTTTGCCCCCTAGCCCTATCTCAGCCTCTGGCAGCTTCCAAGTTTATCTGTCAAGTGATGGGTTTTTGTGCTCTTTCTCTGTTTTGGTTAGCATGAATACTGCTGCTATTATGTGGTCGGACAGTCTTGGATGTTTACCTGCAAGGGGAACTGCTGGGTTCTACCTAAGTTGTTGAGGAACTGCCATTCTGTTGGCCGGGGTGGCTGCCTCCCTCTGTCTTCCCAGCAGCTCTGAAGGGTCCTGGTTTTCTGCATCCTCAGCACTTGGCTGGCTGTGTCTCCAGCCGTTGTAGTGTGTGTGAAGCACTCTCACATGCTTGGCCTTGCCCAGCTTGCAGTAATGTCCGGCTTCTTTGAGTGTTGGCCATTTTATTCCTTCTTTGTAGAAATGTCTGTACAGGGACATCTTCTCCTCCTTCCCCTCCTCCCTCCCACTCCCTTTTGGGTTCATCTAATTAAAACAAAAAAGTTAATGGAATAATTTTTAGATTAGTTTCAGGTTTCAAAGAAGTTGAGCAAAAGTACAGAGAGCTTCCATGAGCTCCTGGCCATTCAGCCAGTTTCCCTTGCCTTGAATGCTTGCCTTCCTGTACTACGTTGCTTAGAATTTATGAATGGATACTAACATATTACTGTTAACTGAAGTTAGTGGTTTTAGGAGTTTCACAAAATGCTAGTCTTTATGGTATTATATGGGATAGTTTATTGTCCTGAAAGTCTCTTGGGATCCACTTGCTCATTTTGCCCCTCTTCCTCATCCTGAATTCTTTAATACTGATCTATTTACAGCCACCATGATGTCACTTTTCCTGGTATGTCATGTACTTGGGATCATGTGGGATGTATCCTTTTCAGAATGACTGCTTTTACTTAGGAAAGTACACTTAAAATTGCTCTGTGTCTTTTCATGCCTTAATAACTTTAAAAAAATTAAATGGCTAAATAACAGTCACTCTATAGCTGTGCCCTAGTTTGCTTGCCCATTTTTTGAATTATTCATCTTAGAGCGGATCTTTTTACAGTTTACTCATACTGAATATTCTAGACACAAATTTCAGCACGATGTTCGGTGGAGTTGCAGGACAGAAGCTCGAAAAGCTACGAAAGCAGCTTTTACCCAGTACCAGGGAACAATCAGAAAAGAAATTTATTTACAATAGAAATTGAAAAGGATAAAATATTTGGGGAGAAATTTAACAAAACAAGCACAAAAGTTGTGCTATGGAAACCATATGGCCTGATTGAAAGGAGAGAAAGACGATCTGAATCGATGGGGAAGTGGGGTATGGCCCAGTAGCCACATTTTCAAGCGTTCTGTTCCCCCTAGCACTGTTAGAGCGGCCTGGAGAAGCAGGCTGGTCCTTGCACTGGGTCTCCTCAGCTACAGGGAGAGTCTTCAACCAAACTTATTCTGGGGTTTTGTGTTCCCTTCCTCCTCAGCCCTGCCCTCTTCCACACCGGATGGGCCTGGGACCTGTGTGTCTTCCTTTCTCAGCCCTTTGGGGTAGCCTGCCGAGTCCTGCTCTGGGCAGAGCACTCCCTGGTCAGGTCCTCGTTGGCTCCCTGGCCCCCCACCCCAAGCTCACTGGGAGGGCAGCAGAGGCCTTTGTCTGGACTTTGAACTTGACGCTCAGCTGGTAAATTGTGAGTGTCCCGTGTGGACATGCTGTGACTGTTTGCCAGAGGACCTTGGGGGTCTCGTGCTCGTCAGAGGTCACGCTGATGGCCGTTTGGTCACTGCCTGTAAGAACTTGCTGATGAAATCTGAAGTGTCCAGTGTCAGTCACAGTGTATGACCGCGCGGGGATACACACTTGACTTCTCACGTCCGGCTTCAGCTCCCCTGTTAGCCGACGGGTTTGTTTGTTACAAGATTAGGGCCCAGGCAGTTGTATTAAAATATCTCAGTGATGACCGAAAAGAACTACAAAGTTCAGGCTCAGGTTCATCCCTTCGCTTCATAAATAGCTTAGATATTTTTATATGCTTGCTTTTTTTTTTTTATAGGGAACGCATTAAAAAAATCTTTTTTAACATGTAGCAAAGGGGACAGAGAGCTCCCATCTGCCTTCACTCTCCAGGTGCCCACAAAGAGCAGTACCAGACCAATGCCCAGAGCCAAGAACTCAGCCCCGTCCTCCCATGTGGGTGGCAGCCATTCCTGCGGCTTCCCCAAGTCTGACTTCCCAGAAAGCTGGAGTGGGGAGCCAGGAGCGGTTCCTGAACCCAGGACTCCCACATGGGATGAGCGCGTGTCCCAGCTGTCATCTTCATGGCTAGGCCCAATGCCAGCCCCTAGATCCCATCCTTGGAAAAGAAACTGAATGCAGGAGATGTTGCTTTGAGTTGAAGTCTGCATAATTTGGTGCATGTTTCTAAGCCGCTGTTGTCTTACTAGCAAGTGGACGGCAGGGTTTTAGGTAAACGGAAATGGTTTCCCTCTTTTGCTTATGAAACTGACATGTGTTTGTATCAAAGAGAAATTGGATTGGCATTTAGAGGGTGGCACCTATCTCAGAGAGTTGCGGTGGGTGCCATGCAGAGCTGATTTCAATAAGGCTGTGCTTCAACCTGCCAGGGCTGGTTACGCTGAAGCACTCCACCACCCCCTTCTTGAAAGTGGAGCCCTTTCTTCCGGGCCACTACGAAGTTTTGGATTTGAAGCCGAATGGCAAAGTCGCCTCCGTGGAAATGGTCAAATACCATCACTGCAGGGATGAGCCCCTGCACGCCCTCTACGACAGTGTGGAGAAGCTCTTCCCAGGTAACAACTCCTCGCCCACCTGCTCCCATCCCGCTCCCCTCCCTGCCTTCCGGAGGAATGGAAGGACTGCAGCTTGAAGACCTGGCTCCCCGCTTTCCAGGGCGGTAGTGCGCCCCGATTCCGAGGCTGCACAGGTGCCATCACGGTGGCCGTGGAGGGCGTGCATGCCGTCCTGGAAGCTGGTTCAGGCCAGGCTCCCATGGAGCTGATCCGTTTATTTGCCGTGTTTATAGGCTTTGAGATAGAAACGGTGAAGAGCAACCTCCGGATCCTTTTTGACAACGCCGTGAGGAAGCGGCTGATGACCGACCGGAGGATCGCCTGCCTCTTGTCAGGTGAGGGCGACCGGAGGGGACTGCCAGCCTGGGAAGAAACGGTTAGCCTCTGTCCCCAAGGTTTTCATGGTAGAATGTTTGCTATATGATTAATCTTTCATTATAAAATGAAATTTTTAAAAAAAGATTTATTTATTTTTATTGGAAAGATATACAGTGAGGAGGAGAGACAGAGAGGACAATCTTCCTTCTACTGGTTCACTCCCCAAGTGGCCGCAATGGCTGGACTGAGCCGATCCAAAGCCAGGAGCCAGGAGCCTCCAGGTCTCCCACATGGGTGCAGGGTCCCAAGGCTTTGGGCCATCCTCCACTGCTTTTGCAGGCCACAAGCAGGGAGCTGGGTGGGAAGTAGGGCAGCCGGTACACAATGTCCCATATAGGTTCCTGGTGCATGCAAGGCGACAACTTTAGCCATTAGGCTACCATGCTGGACCCATGAAAAAGTTTTTCACAAGCTGTATTTAGTATTCATGGTTATACTATAGCGTATTTTGGTGTATATATAATATAAAAAGGAGCTAGATGGTGCATATGAAATGCACAAAATCTGTTCTTTATAGTTGTAAAAATTTTTATTAAAGAATGAGTGAATATACATTTTTTGAATACTGTGTAGCTATTTTTCTTTTAAGATTGATATTCTTTTTTTTATTTGAAAGTTAGGGAATGAGAGAGACCAATCTTCCACCATTAGTTCACTCCCCACATGGCTGCAACAGTCTGTTCCAGGCTAGTCTGAAGCCTGGAGCCTGGAGACAGGACTGCTGCGGGGTCTGCCATTTGGGGAGGAGATCCCAGCCACGTGAGCTGTCATCTGCTGCTCTCCTAGGCGCATTGACAGGAAGCTGGCTGTGAAGTATAGTGGCTGAGACTGGAACCGGCACTGCACTCTCGGGTGCAGGTGTCCTGAAAGCAGTGGCTACACTTGCTGTGCTGGGAAGCCCCCAAATGGCAGTACAGTTAGCGCTGCTGCAGGGTATCGTTGGCTGTCCCCCCTTCTCAGTGTCGCTTTCGGCTGACGGTACTGGGGGATCTTGAGTGCAAGTCGCTCCAGTGCCATCTCAAGGACATGGCCATCTTGCCTGCAGGGGGTCTGGACTCCAGCCTCGTGGCTGCCACGCTGTTGAAGCAGCTGAAGGAGGCCAAGGTGCAGTACGCGCTGCAGACTTTTGCCATCGGCATGGAGGACAGCCCCGATCTGCTGGCCGCGAGGAAGGTAGGACGCTGTCTCTCCCTGCCCCGGTGGCGGGAGAGCAGCCTGCGTGCCAGGAGGGTAGGCTCAGTGCTGGTGGGCCCTCTGCAGCTGCTGTGGGGACTTGGGTGATTGTTGCATAAAGCTCATGCCTTCAGCTGTCCACTGTGCTGGAATCTGGGATTGCTCATCCCCACGGCCTAGGCAGTGCTCCACAAGCCGTTTTCCTGCTCAAGGCTGTGGCTTTAGAGTCTTGTCACCTATGGTCACCCGGGTCCCCACCCTTGTGTGTGATGGTACAGTTTTGAAGTGAATATGTGGCAATTCATACTGCATGTGTAGCACGGGACCTGAGCCCCTAGTGTGCTGGTTTCGGTTGTGTATAGAATGCGGTGTTCAGAGCCAGGGGTCCAGGGCACCTTGTGCGCATGCAGTGTGCCCGAGACTGACCCCCTGCTCTGGAAGACCTGAGAACGAGGAGAAAGATCTAGAGTGCAGTCCAGTGTACGGTGGTTAGGATGGGGCTTCTGAAAGAGCTCTGGAGAGTAGCAGACCATATGGAAATACCAGCCATTTCAGCAGGGGCCAAAGGAGGCCGGGGTTAGAGTGGCATTGTAATAGCCCAGAGAGAGGGGGGAGGAAGAGGAAGCAAATGCCTGGGGAGGAAGGGACGTGCACTGGGAGCCTTTTTCCTGTTTGAAGCGTGAGAGTGGGACGAGCTGGTGGGGTCTGCTTGTGGCTGAACGTGTGAGTGTGGGGCTGGCACACTGGTGGGCAAGGCCCAGGCTGGGGAGTTCGTGGTGCGGTCTGGAGAATCCTCCCCCCTCGGTTTGCCATGTTTTCTGCTGTTGTTAATTCACAATGCTTTGGGAACTACTCTCCTGCATTCTTTCTTTTTTCTTCATTATTCATTAGTGAGGCAGAGAGGGGAAAGAGAGACAGATACACAAGCCTGGGTTCCCAGTGGACGGTTCACTTCCCAAATGCCGGAAATAGCTGGGGCTCTGCCAGGCTGAAGCTGGGAGCAGGGAATTCAGTCTGGTTTCTTGCGTGGGTGGCAGGGAACCACTTACTTGAGCCACCACCTGCTGCCTCCTGGCGTGGGCATTAGTGGGAAGCTGGGGTCAGGAGAGGGGGGCAGCTGCAGCCTGGGCACGGTGATGTGGGGATCCAGGCAGCCTCAGGGGCATCTTCGGTACTGTGTCCAACGCCTGTTGCCTTGTTTCACCTCCATATGGACTTCTGGTAATAACACGGGTATGGTTATTTCTTCCTGCACTCAGGTAGCAAACCACATTGGAAGTGAACACCACGAAGTCCTCTTTAACTCAGAGGAGGGCATTCAGGCCCTGGATGAGGTCATATTTTCCTTGGAAACTTACGACATCACGACAGTTCGTGCTTCAGTAGGTAAGGAGTTTCATGATACAGAAAAGGGTTTCTTTTTAATCACTGAAGAAGCGTCACACTTTCAGTATGCTAGTTCAAGCGACCGTTTAAGAAGCATTGTTCGTGAATGAATACAGATGGAATTCCTGTTACTGATTGCTTATGGCCATTTGAGAAGTCCTGACTCTTTAGTAAGTTAACAGTAAGTGCATGGTTCAGCTGCCACATTAGGGTCACTGCCTGGGCACCTGCTTCCCAGCCGCCCTCCCTCTTCAGTATTAATGTCCTCAGGCTACAGTCTGAAGAAAATGGGGACGTGGCTCTGTGATGCTGTGCATCTTCACTAAGGGATCCTTATTTTAGAAAACGTCCCATCATAGAACCTGTCAGTCACCAGCTAGTGCCACCTGCCGACGGAGCTGGTTCTGGACACTGGACTAGAGACTCTGGCTCAGGTGGAGCCTGGGCTGCTAACAGAGACAGATTGAGAGAGGGAGAGAGAGCAAGTGAGTGAGTGCTTCTAAGAGTTGTGGCTCATGGGACCTCAAGCTGGGGGCCGGGGAGAACCATTACTCATCACTGTTCCTCCCCACCCGGTCTACAGGAAGATGGGGTCAGGAGCCGGGGTTGGGCATGGAGCCCAGGCTCTCCACCGTGCAGTGGAGGCTTGTTGAGCCACTCAGCTACACACTCACCCCAGTATGCCTGTCTTTTTAAGGGACTTGCTAGACAGAGCAAAAATGTCATAGGGATGACCAAGGTTCTGACCCCGCAGAGCCCAGTAAATAGACACACAGTGGGTCCGTGTTGCCGCAGTTTTATAGGGTTTAATAGGATTAGAAAAAGAAAAAGTTGAAAGGCTCCTGAGGGAGGTCCAGTCAAGCTAAATGGAGAAGTCCTTGTTTCGAGGCCTACGGGGTAGGCACCAGGCAGGCAGGCAGGGCTTCATACATGAAGTCTCCTGAACCACATGTGGAATTCGAGAAATGGGGAGTGGCAGCAGAAAAAAGAACAAAGTTAGGAATGACTGACTTCATTATTTTGTATGGGCATACCCACATGAAGGGCATGGTACAGAGCGAATTTCGAGGTAGGAATTTGATAACTTTCAGCATCGTAGGACGGCCCTGGGTCGTCGTCCTGGCAGTGTAGGTGCTGCCTTCGCTGCTTGCAAGCCCCTCTTGGGGTCGTTGTTTTGGAAGCTACATTGATGACGCAGTTGAGGGTGGTTAGTTCCGGATGCCATCTCATGTTGATGGTTATTTCTCTCATTGAAGGGATGTATTTAATTTCCAAGTACATTCGCAAGAACACAGACAGCGTGGTGATCTTCTCGGGGGAGGGATCGGATGAGCTGACCCAGGGTTACATCTATTTTCACAAGGTAAGGCCTTTGGGTGGGTGTATCTCGAGCCACAGTAAAGAAGGCATGCCCTGTTCGATCTTTTCTGTTGCCAGTTTGGGGTAAACATTAAGATCGCCGAGCATCCTGTGAGTTTAGATGAGGAAATCTGTTAGTGCCTGCTCTGTGTTTTCTTGGGAAAGAAAGAAGTTGCTTTAGTGTCAGATAATTGTTATTCTTTAGAACTAATTAAAAGGGGTTGGCGTTGTGTTAAGCCGCCATTTCTGATACTAGGATCCCATAGTGGAGAGAGCCACGTTGAGTCCTGGCTGCTCCACTTCCAGTCCAGTTCCTGCTCATGTGCCTGGGAAGGCAGCAGACCTGGGGTTAGCTCCGGCTCCTGGTTTCTGCCTGGCCCAGTGCTGGCTGTTGTAATGGTTTATGGGAGAGCAGCAGCAGGTGAGAGTTCTCTCTCCCACTCTGTCACTGTCCCTTTCAAATAAGTGAATACATATTTAAAAACTGTTGAAGCAGAAGAATCACTTTTGTGACATTCCTTCATCTTCTGTAGCCTTGGGGCTGTTGCAGAGTATGAATAAGTATTAACTTCCTTATTTAAGATTCACTTCCTTATTTGAAAGGCAGACGGACAGGGAGAGGCAGGGACCCTGGCGCGTGGGATCACCACCGTCACCCCAGGTGTGTTAGTGTGGGAGTGACATCAGAGGCGGGCGAGCCGGGACTGGGAGCGGCGCTCTGAGCCGGGTGGGGGTGAGCCACGTGGTGGCCTGGCCCTCTGTTCTGTTCTGTGTCTGAGCTGTGTGTCCGTGACTTAGGCCCCTTCTGCCGAGGAGGCCGAGGAGGAGAGCGAGAGGCTGCTGCGGGAGCTGTACCTGTTTGACGTCCTCCGTGCGGATCGCACCACCGCCGCCCACGGGTAACTTAGGACTTTAGGACGCACTGTCAAAGAGAAGAGGACAGAAAGAAATTAGGAAACCAAAAAGCCCATTAGCTGGTTTTCTCTTTTTAATTTAGTTGGTTAAAAGCTACGAGTTGTGATTTCTACAGAGAAGGTCATCCTTGTCTCTTCGCACAGTGCCAGATGCAAAGCCCAGCTGCTGTGGCTCGCGTTGCATGCGGCGTACATCTACACGCTGTGTGTGCTTTTAAAAAATGTTACAGAAGGAAAGACAACAGCCTCCCATCAGCTGGTTCACTCCATCACAGATGCCTTTGATGGCCCGGGAGAGGCTGGGCTGAAGCCAGGAGCTGGGGACTCAGGCCAAGTATCTAACGTGGATGGTGGCACCAAACTCCTTGAGCCATGGCCTGCTGCCCCAGGGGTCTGGAATCGGGTCGAGTTAGGACTCACACGTGAGCCCAGGGATGTGGCATGTGGGTGTCTGACTGACATCTTGAGGCTGAGCACCTGCCTCACGGGTCGCCTCAAAGGCGTCAGAACAGCCTGGAGGCAAGGCTGGGGCAGCCTTTGCCAAGTCTGTTCCAGAGAAGCAAAGGTTGTAAAATCCACACAGCCCACCCTGAGCACTCGCCATGCCTGCGTGATGCCAGGGATGCCAAGCAGAGGCCGGAAGCGAGGTCCAGCGTAGGCTAGAAAGCCCAGGGTCCTTTGGGTTTCAGATTTCACTTTCATGAATAGAAAAACAATGAAGATTCTTCTTATTCATGATCAACAACTGACATTAAATGCCTTAGCTGCCTCTGTGGAATCACACTTGGAAATAATTAAATATGGGGTTGAGGAATGAACTTGTTTGTCACTTTTATTCTGTTGGTCTTTCATGAGAACACGAGGGTTCAGGGGACAAATGGTGTGGAATGTGGCTTGTATAAATTGTCCATCACTTAGTAATAGAGTTGTTAATAGGAAAAGAGGTGGGTTCTTCTAGAAAAAAACCTTTCTAATTGGAAGGGTCTAGGCAAGGTGATTTTTTTTTAAAAAAAAGATTTATTTATTTATTCATTGGACTTTAGAATTACAGAGATGGGGATAGATGGAGGTGGGGAGGGGGAGATGAGAGAGATCTTCCCTCCGCTGGTTCGCCCCCTGAGTGGCCACAATATCCAGGTGTGATTTGGTGTGACCCCAGGAGCCCAGGACTTTATCTGAGGCTCCCACATGAGTGCAGGGGCCCAAGCACCTGAGCCATCTTCAGCTGCTTTCCCAGGCGCATTAGCAGGGAGCTGGTTGGGAAGCAGAAGAGCCAGTGCTGCAGGCAGAAGCTTAGCCCACTGTGCGGTAGCACCAGCCTCAGGGTGCATTCTCAACGGTCAGACATGCGTTCAAGTGTTCATGGAAGGGAATGCAAACCTAACAGCTTTAAGTTGTCCGTCTCACTTCCGGGATGAGGCGGTGCACATCACCTTCATGCAGATGTTTTGTATTTATCCGTTAGTATAGAGTGCATTTTCCCAGGACTTTGTAATCTTACTTGTAACCAGATTCTGGTTGCTGGACCCTGGCGAGGGGTGTTGCCTGCCCGCTGTGATGTGGGTTTTTCTCCCTCTGTCATTCCAGTCTGGAGCTGAGAGTTCCATTCCTGGATCACCGGTTCTCCTCCTATTACTTGTCTCTGCCCCCGGAAATGAGAGTGCCAAAGGTAAGCACGGCAGCTTGGGAGAGCCGCGGCCGCCCGCCGGGCCACAGCCTCGCTCTGATGGGCCTTTGTTCTGTGCCAGAACGGGATAGAAAAACACCTCCTACGAGAGACATTTGAGGACTCCAACCTGATCCCCAAAGAGATTCTCTGGAGACCGAAGGAAGCCTTCAGTGACGGGATAACCTCAGTGAAGAATTCCTGGTTTAAGATTTTGCAGGAATATGTCGAGCATCAGGTAAAGCACCTGTGTGCGGTGGGAGGGCTGGGACGCGCGGCTTGAATCGTGACCCCTCTCGCCTTCAGTTTGAGCATTTTATGTATACAGAATTGGCTCATGGTTCCTCAAGTCCTTTATAAAAACTGTAAAAGAGTTAGGGAGCCTGAAACATACAGAATAGTATCTTAGACCCAAAGGAGCAAAGGGGCTGAATAATTTGTGGTCCCTGGCCTTCACTTGACACATGTGACATTTGCTGGGAGGGAGATATCATTGGGCCCAGCCGACTGTAGCGCTCTGAGCCGCTAAGAATTAGGAATGTGCAAGGTGAGGCTCCTTGCAGCTCACCACGCCCCCACGGCCCCTGACTGCTCTAATAATCTCTAAGAGATCCGTGATGCAGAGAGCCGCTTGCGCAGTTTCTTCTCTTCACTTTTTGGTTCCACGAAGGCAGGAGAAACACACGAGAGTCCCCGGGCCGGTGGAGAGCTGTGTGGCTCTGAGGCTGTTTGTCCTGCAGGTTGACGACGCGATGATGGCAGCGGCGGCCCAGAAGTTTCCCTTCAATACCCCGAAAACCAAGGAGGGCTATTACTACCGACAGATCTTCGAGCGCCACTACCCAGGCCGGGCCGACTGGCTGACCCATTACTGGATGCCCAAGTGGATCAATGCCACCGACCCTTCCGCCCGCACGCTCACCCATTACAAGTCAGCCGCCAAAGCCTAGGGGCTCCCCGTGCTCCCCAGCGAGAGTAAATGTGACCTGTGGTGTGTGTGTCAGTTCGGGGCTGGGGACCCAGCTGGGAGAGACAAGGGCTGACCACGCAGACTTACTTGAGTGTAAAGAAAATAAACATGTTACATCTAAGATGCACGTCTGGTTTTGTCTCTTCATTCAGCACTTTTCTTGGAGGTCAGTGAGGCCATGGGTGAGTCGGCTCACCACGTCTGATCCGACGCTGGCTTGTGGCCCAGTGGGTTAAGCCATTGCTTTGGAGGGCCACTTACATAGGAACACTGCTGGTTCGAGTCCTGACTTCACTTCTAGTTCAACTCTCTGCTGATGTGCCAGCGGAGGGACAGAAAGGTGGCCGGAGGGCTTGGGTCTCTGCCACCCTGTGGAAGACCTAGCTGGAGTTCCTGGCTCGCGGCTTCTGTTGCAGCCAGCCATCTGGGGGCGCTATCCAGCAGACGCAAAGATCTCTGTCCCTCTCAAAGTAGGTATACAGAGAGGAGGAGAGACAGACAGGAAGATCTTCCATCCGATGATTCACGCCCCCCAAGTGACCACAACGGCCGGTGCTGCGCCGATCCAAAGCCAGGCACCAGGAACTTCTTTCCAGGTCTCCTCCACAGGTGCGGGGTCCCAAGGCTTTTGGCCGTCCTCGACTGCTTTCCCAGGTCACAAACAGGGAGCTGGATGGGAAGTGGAGCTGCCGGGATTAGAACCAGCGTCCATATGGGATCCCGGCATGTTCAAGGTGAGGACTTTAGGCACTAGAGCACGCCGCCGAGCCCTCAGAGTAGATCTTAAAGCAAAAGCTGGCTGTCTCTGTCATATTTCCCTTTCCGTCCCTGCTGCCCATTGCCTCGCAGCACCCCGTTCTGGCCTCATTCCCAGGGGGTGGGATCTTCCACTCACGCATTACGCCCAACAGGACTCATTTATGCCTATTTTCTAATTGACTTTAATTTTGGGGTTGAACCAGTTTCTCTGAAGACTTACCTAGGACAAGGGCCGGACGCCAATTAATCATTCAATATGTTTAAATTCTGCTAGTCTTCATATAATTAGAAATCATGTATAGTAAATAGTGGCAGTTGTCAGACCTGAAAACTGAAACAGGAGAAGCCTGGAAGTTATTTTCTGAGTCGAAGCATCCCTAATTCTACAGAAAGGAGAAGCAGCTGTTGGTGGTAGCAATCGCATTCCAACGCATTTGAATTACAGCTCAGACTCCTGAAAAGCAAGACTGTTAGAGAAAAAGGCTTCAGATTGCCCACTGGCACGGTGTACATCCACTTCCTGTGCTTACACTAAACTGCTGTTCCTTATTTCAAGTGCAATGACGATTTTCCTTAAGGAAAATGAGTCTTAGAACATTATGTAAATGAGGTCACCAAGCAAATGATCAGGCAGCCTCAACTCCCGTCATTTCTCTGTACTTGAACTGCGAGAAGCACCTGCTTGGAATTGGCCACGACTGGATCAAGTTTGTTGCCTGATTACAAACATTTAAGGAGCGAGCGAGATTACTCAAAGTACAGTTTAAGCATCAAGTGGATTCGAGAGAATTCTGCTGAATGTTACTTTCATGTAAAAATTCAAAGATGTATCCATCTCAATCTTTACGTAGGAAGCGAGAATTTATTATTCTAGTGACTCAGCTAATGAAAATATTTACAAGGTAACTTGCTTGCGGTGTGACTGAAATGTTTAGCCCAACCTCATTTTGTAGAGGGCTGGACTCCCTGGCTCTGCGGACCTCTGTTGGATGTGTCAGCTCTGTCTTTGGGGTGTCAAAACCGGCTGTTAGTTTGCATAAGGCTCTTGAGCTGCCTCTGTCCTGCAACAATCCAAGCGAGCAAGCATTTTTGACACAACGAAAGTCGTTCTACAGCTTGGTTTGGAAAAGGGAAGGGGTGCCAGGGAAACACTGGGTGATCAACTCAAGTTTCCTTTGAATGCTCACAGGTGTTTCAGGGACAGTAGAGCTGAATTTAGTTACTAAGAACTTTGGGAAGCCACTAGTATACAAGTAAACCGGAGAGTGCTTGGTGGGAAAGCAGGATGGGAAATCCTTGGACAGCGGAAGATACTGATGGAGCTGCGATATGGGTCCTCACCTGCAAGTATAAATGCCCCCAGACTCTAGAAATGTCCCCTGTTTGTGATGTTTTTCATGACTACTTTGTGAATTGTTTAGCATGCCTTGGTTCTTGGCCTGTTTTTGATAAAACCTCCACTGGCCAAGCTGAGGTGCCAAGAATGCCTTGTGTGTGGTTGGCGGCGACTACACAGCAATCATTGCCAGGAGTAAGGCGGCATGGAGGCTAACCAGCCAGCTTGTCATGGCATGGGGCCAGGCTTTCAGGGTCAGTGCCACGTTGACATAGTACCCAGGAATTATGATACTAAGGCTACTTAAACCTTGGGCTTTTTGAGGGACCGACCCCTGTCGGGCTGTGATGGGGGAGTGGGCTCTGCGTTGAGACTGGCAGGTCATTGCTTGCTCTGAAATCCCTCCTTTGTGTGGTTGCTTTAGTCAGGCCTGGGACCTGTGACCCAGATCCCTGGAGTGGATTCCCTGATTGGAAAATGGCGGCTGAGAGGCTAGGGAGCTAGGAGGTGGCCCCTGACCCGGTGCTCAGCCACCTGCTTGCTCTGTGCATTGCTGTGGACAGGGACAGAGGGGCAAGCCCTGCCATCCTCAGTGCTCGCCTCTGCCCCTGGAGCCTGGCAGGATTTTGCCGGAGTCTTGAGGAGAGCAGTGAGGCGGTGCTGTGTGCCCTCCGAGGTTAGGTCACAGAGAGTGGTGGCTCCTGCTTTCTCTCTTTACAAAGTTTGTCTTTTTTAGTGTCTTTATTTGATAGGCAGAGCTACACAGGCTGGGGAGATCTTCCCTGCACTGACTCCTGGGATGCCTGGGACACGGACAGCCACGGGCGGCTCACCCTGCCACTTCCCAACCCCGTCCGCTCGTGCTCTCGCCGCGTGCTGTTTGGAAACCGTGTCCGCACACAGCTGCCCTGCATGATGGGAGCCCCAGTCAGGAGCCACTTCAATCACCGGGCACGTGGGGGCTGGAGTCCAGCCCCTGGGCGTGGAGCCTTCCAGCACAGGACCAACAGAGGCCACCCCTGCAGGCTCCGGACGAGCTCCTCACCCACACATCCGTGAGTATCCGGAGCAGTGTTCGGACAGCTTTGATTTTGGGACGGGTTTATGATCAAGTGTGGTGAGACACGCGAAGCAGCAGCGCTGCGGCAGCACACACACACACACACACACCACACACACACACACACACACACCACACCACACACACACACACACACACACACACACACACACACACACACACCACACACACACACACACACACACACACACACACACACACACACACACACACACACACACACACACACACACACACACACACACACACACACACACACACGCGAGCTGGAACTACGCCCGGGGCTGGAGTGGGAGTTTGCTTCAGGCGCTTCCGTGGGAACTCAGAAGGCAACGTGGGTATTCCCCACCTGTCCTGTGCTTGCTAGGGTGGGGGCCAGGGAGCCGCATGGGCAGCAAGAAGGCTCATTCTTACTGCTGGAGGACAGAAGGGACGACACGGCGAATCCTGGCAGCCACCTTGTCCCCAGCAGAAGGCAGCAGAGCCGCCACAGGCGTGAGCGAGCTGGGCACCAGGAACACGGCACCGGTGGGAGGCGGCCTGATTTCTGGCAGTAATGTGAATGTGGCTGGTGCTGTCATGTTGGCTACACAGTTCGCTGACTGTCCTGATGGCCAGGGACTCCTCTAAACTACAACATTTAAAAAAGATATATTTATTCATTTATTTGAGTGTCAGGGAGAGAGATTAAGATTGCCTTTCCACTTTCTGTCTGCTCATCTGTTCCGCAGATGACCACAGCAGCCAGCTCTGTTCGAGGCGGCAGCTAAGAGCGTTGAACTTCATGCTCTTAGTGGTAGGGGCTGGGGCTCAAGCGCTGGCATTGCCTTCCACTACCTTCCCAGACACATCAGCCAGATGCTCTGAAATGGGATGCTGGCATTGCATATGGTGGCTTCCCCCGCTGTACCACAACACCGGGTCTACCCACGCTCAGTCTTCTGAGTCGCCCAGTATAGGATGCACCCAGAGGTCATTCCCACGCTGTGGGCATGGAAGGCCATGTGCTCAGGGGTCAGGCACAGAGCTGAGAAGCAATGGGATGTGGGATGTTTGGGCCCACGTTCCAGACTTTTAGACTGTTTTATGTGACATTTCAAAGGGTTAGAAACAGAAAATGCAATGACATTCGTGGACAAAGAAAATTCACAATTTTCTCTAATTCTTTAATAGTAACATATATTTCCCTTTCGAGTAGCTTGTAAGTTTGTACCTCTGCTAATTTACAGCTGTATGATGCTTTCAGCTTATTTCAGTTTTTAAAGTTAGCACCGTGCCCATCTAGGCATATGTCCCTCCTGTCATTGGCGTCTCCTGTGAATTCTCACCTGCCCTCAGCCTGTATCTGGACAGGAGGAGATCGCCATGACCTTGTGGTCCTTTCACAAGTTGGAGCATGTTGAAGACCACTCAGAAACAAAGCCGTCATTACAACTGGTCCGGGTCTGTCCGGGATTGGAGCAATCTAAAGAACTTGCTCTCTGTGGCTGCAATACCACACGACGCCACAAGGTGGCAGCCACCACACACAGCATGCAGACTCCTCCAGGCTGGTTTGCAAAGTTCTGCAGGGCAGCGGTGAGACAAGCGCGTGTGGTCTACAGGGCAGAGATGACGTGTCGGTTCAGAGGCCCCGGCAGCACGGAAGCTCCACAGACACCCGGGGGGCTTTAGCGAGCACTTTTAATCTGTGCAGAGTTGGGGATTCTGAGCAGAGTATGGAAAAACACTCTGCTCCCGAAGTTCGCAGAAAATTCTCTTAATTCTGTTACCCCAGCCCGGGTCTTTTTTCTCCCTCCTCCTCTAGCTCATGTCTGCAGAAAGCATGTCCTAAGAAGACGGAGCTCCCCACAACCCCAGAGGATGGAAGGAAGTGAGCACCCCAAATCTGGGTTGATTCGCTTTTTTAAAAAAATGTAGATGCGTGCTGTTTGTTTTAAAGAGG